CGTCTATTGATGGCCAATAGAGAAACTACTCCTCCCTCTGGCCTGAGTCTATGTAGGTTGCCTTGGAACGCCCAAAAATCTCAGCTAGGTCGTTGCGATTCGGGCCGCCGTTAAATACAGACTGCAGATTCTATAAATCAGGCGTATTTCTCAACACCTTCGCCACCATGCCGCCGCTCTCAACCCGCTCATTAAAAACCATTAAGGAAAATATTTCGCTGGCGAAAAATTATGGCGTAAATGATCCCCAGAACCGCCCCCCAAAAGCCACCCTATAAACGACCTCCAAGATCCCACCGAGACCGACACGAAGCCTGGCCTAAACGCGTTCCAGTGTCTTAACTCGGTTTCTGTGTCATTTTCTTGTCTGCAACTCCGGGTTTTGAGCGTCAAATAAATTTAAGTCTACACCTAAACAGCCGGCAAACAAAATAAAATAAAGCACTTGGAAAAAATACTAAAAAGAAACAACATTGGGGAGGCACTGGGAAAATTTGAAGAGCGATATAAAAAAAGAAAATGTATATTTTTCATTACATGAAGTAACCATATTTCGTAAAGAAACCACACTTACTTTCCTTTTTTCAATACTTATTTATTATTTTTGTTGCATATAACTTTAATGATTTTTTAATAAATATGATTGTTTTTAATCTTAAAAGTTAGTACTTAAAATTCCTCTCAGTGCCTCAGTTCTTTGCCATTATTTTTTGTTTTGTTATTTTTTCGTACTGAGTGCTCTTTGGAGCGAACATTTGCAACAATTTGTTATTGGCCATTTAAGCCGTTTGTTGTTGGCCATAGTTGCTTTTGGCCGTTGGCGTAGCGAAAAATCTGTTGAGTGTTAATGACATTTTTATGTTTTAACGCTTGAAAAGCTGCGGCCGCTGGGAAATGGCAGACAGTGGGGGAAAACTCCAATTGAAATTCCCGCACCTGGCAATGCTCTATTTTTTTTCTTAACTTGTTTCTTTTCTTTTATTTTCTTCATTTTTTTTTTCAAGAGGTGAGGTGAGGTCTGGTTAACATTTGTAGCTGGTTTGAGTTATTGGCTTGGCCTGTGCTCATCCCAGGCCTAATGGGGGTTTGTTGTTGGCCAAAATGACAGGTGACCTGGCTAACAAGTAGATGGGGTTCATGTTCTTTATCTATGCCGCACAAAATGGTTAGCAAAATGATGGAAATACTGTGAATATTAATGCTATTTATGAATTTTGAGAGCAAAAAATTCAATAAATACTAATATTTTCAATACAGAGTTAAGAGCTCAAGAGGCTAATTAAACACATGAAAAAAAGCCAATAAATAACAATTATTTTCCAATGCAAACTTCAAAGTTCAATTGGTGAAATGCCAGGGATCAGCATTATGTACATTTTTTTCCTATACAAATACTGCCAGCTCCGACGCTTTCTCCTCTCATCGCCAAAGCAAATTCAATTCCGTTCAGTTTTTGGCCTCAGCTTGTGTCAACATTAATTAAATTTTCTGCGCGCATTTGCAAAACTTTTTGAGCAGCTAATTGGATTTTGGCCGAGCTGCATTTGCCGGCAACAGAAATAAAGCAACAACGGCGACAACAAAATAAAGCAAATTCGCGTGCAGCCGCGGACTAATAACCGCCGAAGCCAAAGCCAAAGTCGGGTTGGGTTGGGAAAAAAAAAGGTATATATATATGTATATAAAAACCAGTCGCCCGCTGCAAGTTTCCTGCCTTTTGCTCCTACTCCTGCTCCAGCTCCTGCGCCATCCTTGCCTTGACTTTCCGCTCCTGGGGAAGTTTTTCAAGCGAAAAAAATGTGTATATAAAAAAGGGAAATACTCCTATTAAATGTATTCCTTTGTTTCAGGCTTCACTGGTGCCTGAAATTTCGCCAAAAATGTTTTCTCTGTCGGCCATTCGGCATTTAATGATTTACGTGGCCCAAACAAGTCCATGGTCAGGCAGAGAAAAAAACAACGATCAGGTTTTCTTAGTTCTTCCTTTGAAAAGATATAAAAATTCTATAATTTGATGATATTTAAAAGCTAAATAAAAGTTATTCTCTTTAGTAATAAAATATATTCATTACTAAAGGAAATGAGAGGAAGACATATTAAGTAATATTGAATATATCTTATTGTTTATCGTAAAAATCATTAAAAGAAGTATGCTATATAATTTCCCAAAACTGTTTACCATTTTCAAATATAATTGAGCAAATATTTACCCAATTCTTCTAGCCTTTTCTCTCAGTGCACACCAAGCAGGTGGTCTCCGGGCCTTTGGACAAAACTGTTTGACTTTTGGCCGCGGTGAAGTGCGTGTGCGGGTGGGAAAAGTCTGGCACTGCAATTAACAAGTGCAACGACTCCGTAGCCTTCTCCTTTTCCTCCTTTCCGATCCTCATCCTCCTCCGTTTCCTTGGCAGTACTTCCTTCTTGCCAAAAACAATGGCCCAAAAAAGAGAACCGAGAAAAGGAAAAGAAAACGCTGCAACTAATAACACTTAACCGTAGCCCGAGTCAGGTCTTAATTATGGCAAACAACTTTTTGTTTTTAGTTTAGCCGCTAAAACGCTTCCTGTGAGACAAAAAGCTGCCAGCTACTGAACTTTGGATGCACCTCTCACTCCGATTTTCCCTGTGAGTTTTCCGGGAAAACTGCAGTGTGCATGTCGCTACATATCAACAAAAGATGCAGCAGCCGCCTCCACACTTCCACACACTTGCCAAGCGTTTCGGTTTGGTTTCGGTTGCATTTTCCGACTTTTTTTCGGTTTCTGCACTTTTTGTACGTTTATTTTTTTGCAGACTTCAGTCAATGCACTCTCTATGACGTCGTAGCCGTCGTCTGACTGCACAAAATGAAAAAGTTTCGCAAAAAAAAGTAATGAAATCCAAGGCCCAAAAGGATAAACTTGAAGCGAAAAAAATAAACAAGGGATTTTGGTAGAAGCCTGGGGACTTTGGTAATACCTTGTAAAAATTTTTAGCAAGGAATAATACTACAAAGATATATAAAACATATCAAAGAAATTTGGGAAAATGCCATTAAGAAACCGTTTTGAGCTTAATTTTTATAAAATTCTTTAATGAAGTGCCCATATTTGATTTTATTTTTAATACTTATATGAAAATATCTCATTAAAAATTAAAAAGAATAAATGTGTCATATTTAAGATATGGATTGTATATTTAAACAAATCTTTAACATATTTTTGTTAACCTTTACCAGTTGGTTGAGTGGTTACATCATTCATAGTTTCCAGAGTATCAAGAACAGCAATTCCACAACCAACAAAACAACACAACAAATAAGGAAAAAAAAAGCACTCGTAGCATTTTTCTTGTTTTAATTTTTTTTGGTTTTGTTGTTTTTTTTTTGCACAAAAAGCAAAAAACAAGAATGATTATTAACGCCTGTTGGGTATGCCACAGGACGATGTCTGCAGCGGTTGCAACTGCAGCAGCAGAACAAGCATCAGCTACAAATCCATCAATGCACCAAAAGAAATACTTAGGTACTAAGAAAATTAATATATTTTTTATTATAAAATAATATTATTTATTTTGCAATGGCTTAAAATAGAGCAATAAGAAAATATCTCTCTTGTTTTAACATTTCCAAATTTATTTCTTTTTAAAGCTATTCACTCGACTACAAATATTTTTAATTTATTTATTTCATGTAGTTTCTGACTAAATGTAGCATATATTAATATGGTTTTATGCACATTTTACCCAGAAATAATTTTTTAAATATATATACTAGTATGTAAAACATATATTTTTATTTTCTGTGTAAATTTCTGAGTTGTTGGCTCTGAATTCTGACTGGGGTTCCCGCTCTCAGACTCCTCGAGAACCGAAAGGCGGCAGGCTACTGTGCAAACACAGAGCCGTGTTGCTTTTTCGGTGCATTCGCCTGCAGCGGCCTTTGGATGCAAAAATGCAGCCGGGCAAAAACAACATGTCACAGGCCCGAGGCAGGCGGAGGATGAGATGATGATGGCTGCCTGGCTTGGAGCTATAGAGTCCCCGGGCCCCTCTCACTCATTAGGCCCGTGCGCTGCACTTGTGCCTGCGCTGCACCGTATCCTGCCAAAGTTGGCGGGACCACGTCGGGAGACGTGGCCTGGCCTGCATCCTGGCCAAGTCTCTGCCTCAGTCTCAGCCTCAGTCTGAGGCAGTTGCAAATTACGCTCTCAGACACAATTGTCTTGGGCCTCGGAGACTTGTTCGCCTGAGGAACGGGGACCCGAAACGACAACAATGCCTGCATTTAAACGCAATCTTCGCAATGGCTAGACAGACTCAAACGCAGACATTTTTTTGCCTATCCCTTGAGGGGGGTGGAAGAAAAAAGAAGGGAGGCAGCGGAGGCGTGGCTAGGTGGCAAAAGCGTCGCGTCATCGTCGCGTCTGGAACACTTGAAATTTTTGTATATGTTCATTAGAATGTGCCCCATGACGAGCACAAGGAGGACGATGCTTGAACGCCCTGAAGTAGGCAACACTTTTGGCACATGCACTGCTTTGATGCAAGTGCAAACGGGGCATTACGAAGGTGGTACAGTTGTGCGTGAAGAATTTTACGGAAACATTTATGCATGTGAAAGCATGAAGAGTTGAGTGATGGTTCTTAATTTACTTCTTCAAGTAGATTTGTTAAATACCTTCAATTGAAATCACAAGGAAACTAATTCTAAATAACATAGATTTTTCTTAGGAAGTGTATGCTAGGAATTCCGAACAATGTGAATTTGTTTTCCTTTTTTTCTTTTGAAATTCAACTTGTAATTATATGTATTTAAAAACTAACTAATTTTATATCATTTTATATATATAATTTCTATAGACCGATAAGAAAAATATTAAAAAACCCAATTAAAAACTACTATTCGGTAAATACCTTACCGTAACCACACTTTACTTTATGTTAAAATAAATGCAATTCCATTTAAAGCTATAAATACGACATAAATATTTAATAATATTTTTTTCCTTCCTCTATTTCAGAACCTGTCCATGGATTTATGAGGTATGTACGTAAAGCCCCAACCACAATATGCGAATAGTATTTAAATCCGTTCAGGGGCACAAAAGCCGCTTACGATTAATGCTCGCAACCTGCATATAAATAAAATGTTGAAAAAATCCAAACCAAATAAAATTATAAACGAATCTATTATGACAAGTGCGTGGGCCCTACAAAGTCTTTATTCCCCCGTTCGCATTTTTTTTTGTATTTTTCTTTTATATACACATATTTTTTGAACAAAAACAGCAAGAGAATACGGGGGCTGTTGTGTGTCCAAAATGATGCTGAAGTGTGTTCAAAGCCGAGGGGGAGCCCATCATCATGTCAAACGGCAGCAGACAAGAAAACCTAACGATCGAATTAATAATGCCAACAAAAGGGAGATCCGAGATACCTGTGCCTTTGCCTCTGCCTCTGCCACGCCCCGACCAACAATAGAGACAGCCGTGATTGACAACTATGTTGAAATATCAAATTATAATTTCATAAATAGATGGGAAATGGGGGAAGCTAAGAGGCTTTAAATCGGGTAATTGCCTGATCTATTAGGCCTGGGTGTGGATGTGGCCGAAAGAGATCTCCCGACCAGATTGAAGGTCAATGACAACACGTACAAAACATAATTGATTATTAAACTGACGGACAGTCGGTCCCTAAACAGTATTTAATAAAAAGGGTGCGGGTACGGGCACGGGTACAAGATTGCTGGAAACATGTTTTAATTTCATGCCTCGGATATCGGACATTAAGGCCCGAGGAATTTTAATTGCCACTGGTCGGGGCAGCCTTGGTTTCCACTCCACTCGTGAACTAGAAAATAAAAACACACAAACTGCAATTGGCTTTGGCATTCACATGCTTCGTTATGGCCATATGAAAGTGCCACATAATCCTGTATCTCTCACCCCGCAGTGCCGGCGGCCAAAACAATTTTCACACCGCCACGGTAATATAAAACTATATATATCTATCTATATGTGGGCTCTTCACCATTTTTGGGAAGCTGAAAATGAAAATCCAATCAATGCCCGCCTGCCAATATCCATTGCGGTTAATGTGGTTTTCTGGCCTCGACTGTTTGGCGTTCGGGGCGTAGTTATAGTTTAAGAGCTTCACAATCGTATGTGGGCTGCCAATTTTATGTTTGGCCAAGATTTCCTTGGGTAACTCGGAAAAAGAAAGTGGTGAAGATTTTTCTTCTCATACGTTTTTATCACAAGAAAGTACTTGAAAAGGAACTCTCTTAATTTTAGATTAGTTTTACCCTTAGAAGCTCCGGAAGCGGTTTAAGATTTTAACAATATTTTTCCCCCTTCATAAATCAACGTGTATATAAAATATAAGCCATGACAGTCTCAGTTCAGTCTAAAAGGCCTCTCCCACCGAACACCACAAGAATCTTTGCCTTAGTTCTACTGTAGGGAAGCCAACCTCTTGGGCTTATAATTATTGTGAAGTAACCCGTTTGCAAGCTGTGCAGAATTTTTAGTTTACGAGCACATAAATGTAATTGGATGCGCAGAAAATATTACAGTATACATCCATGAGGAGAGTGTGTTTATAAATTTACCCACTGGGCACTGGACAAAAATATAACAATATTCTGGAATTCAATTTGAAGACTTAAGTGGGGTTTTTATCATCATATTTGTAAAGAAAAAATCGTTAAATGTTGTTATATTATTTGTACCTATTTAAATACTTTAAAATTAAATAATTCATTTTCTATAGTAAACAAGTCTAGCTTTTTCCGTCGTATTAATTCTCTCAGTGCCCTGGTCGATTTTTCTAGCCTGCAATTTGCTTGAAGCCAGCTGTGTTGCAGCTTCCATCTGGAGTTCCTGGAGACTCTTGCGCATGGGCAAAAGGCGAAACGTGTCATCATCGATTATATCGAAGGGGGGTATGGACTTCAGTATGAGAATGGTGATATGGAGCTCTCCTCTCTCCAGGGAGACAGAGGGGAAAAAATCGGGAGCTGGGCAAACAAGTGGCTGTTGCTATCGCTCTGTGTTATCGCTGACGTTGGCAGTCCCCTGGGCGCGTAACTCAAAGCGACAACACTTGACACTAATTAATACATACGCACCGACCTGGGAGCTGGCTTTTTTCCACACCGTTTTCCCATTTTCCATCTAACCAGCTGCCGCCACCCACTCGGCTTGTCGACGCGCTCTCTCCCTCTCGTCGCATTTCAATCAAGACCACGTCAGTCATTCAGTCAGTCAGTCAGTCATTCAGTCTGAGCTGAGATTCTGGCTTGATAAAGTTGTTTGAAAGTGTTGCAGCCTGCACACACAAAGACACAGACACGCATAGTTGAGTGCCTAACTGGCACATTGACTGCAGCAGGCAGCAACGTGCAACCTGCAACACAGGCAACAGTAACTGCAGCAGCAACATTAACCTGCAACAGTTGCAGAGAGAGAAAATATGTGCAAGATATTCTAGCTTAATTAGGAGGCTTGTTTTCAATTCAGCTATTTATTTCCTTTCAGATTCATGGTAAATATTCAATGTACTTCCTTTAAATTTGTTTAGTTCCCATTAAAGTGTTTTTAATTAATTAATTTATTCCTAATTTTCATTCTATTTCAATTGATAAAGTTGCCTGTGGTTCTTATCGGTATTTCACTCTTCATAAACATTTCAAAAATTAATAAATCTCATAAATTGATAAATGAGTTCTTCAAGAAGCCCAAATATTCTAGGTAACCATTATTTTCCCGTGTGTATAAAATAGAAATAGGGAAGCAGCCGTCTAGAAGAGGAGTGTGTGCCATTGTACTGGGCGATGCTTATCAGCTTGTCGACGTCGCGGTCTCCTGGCCTCACGCAGCAGCAGCACCACCCCCAGAGACACACCATCAAAGACCTTCTACCAGCCCCCCAGTGGGTGCTGCTTGATAATGTTTACCGTTGCACTTCCTACGCCGATTAAGGTTAGCGCACTTTAAGCAAACGATTGAGTGGCTACTTGGTGTCAAAACTTTAATTAAAACTTGGCTACCAAAGGAAAGTTTGAAGGATAATGCTAATGAGGCCATCGAACAAATTTTCTAAAAACGAATTAATAACAAATTCAAAATACTCGGAAGTTTAAGGAAGCTTAGAGGTAATAGAAATTGGATTTATTCTACAAAGATAAAAACCTTAAAACTTTGGGTAATGCTGTAATGTAAAGCTGAAGGAATTTGTATAATAATTTTAAATGATTAAATTTCAGATAAATATTAAGGAATATAGAGGTCCTACTCTTTAATAAATAAACAAACAATAAAGCTGTTTAATAATCCAATTTATATAATACTTTTCATTTTGCTGTTAATCTGCAAGTTTAATATATAAACCTTTAAAGAACTTAAACACCCAACTTTGCGAACTTTAATTCAATGCAAAATATGTAAATTAAATTTGAATATTTTATCCTGCTCAAATTAATAGAAATGTCAGACAATAATAATCCCGCTGGATTATTTTCCTTCACTCACTCTACCCCCTAGACACAATGATTAAATTTTGTGAGCCATCTTCCCCCCACAGAACATTAAAACCCCTCAGAATAGTGCCTTCAAAAAACTTATTAAGTAATTTAAACAACATTTCCATTCAGGCTCGCGTTGATTTGACTTTAATTTGAAATTTTACACACCAATAAGCCACATTTAGCTGTCAAATTTCCAAAGCGAAATATGCAAATTAAATGCGGCAATTCTGGCATTTCCTCTGTTATTATAGCCAACGTGCCGCTTTTTATTGACCAATTAAAAATGCTTGTGATTCCGGACTGGGACCGAGGAGGAGGTGGGAAATGATTCATCTAAGTCCGAGAGCTGTCTCTCAAGTCATCAAGGAAGGCAAATACCTCGTTTTCGGGCCTCTGGCATTTCTTAGCTTTTATTTACTTTATTTTTCTTGACAATGGCACAGACAATGATCGATGAAGTTGCGCCTTGGACTTTAACATTTGTGCCCGAAATCGAAAAACGAAATCGAAACCGAAATCGAAAATAAATTTTCAATTGATAACAAAGGAAAATCGACACAAACTGGCATTAATTTTGGGCTCTTTAGAGCCAAACTTTGACACCCGATGCCTGAATAAATGCTTAATTAACACTCAATGGCGCGCCTTAAGCGGGCTTTCATGGGTTAATCGGAGGGGCGGAGGCGGTGGGGTGGGGGTGGCGTTTGTTGCCAGCTAAATTGCGGCAATTGAAGGCGCAACGAATGCAACTCAAAAAAGTCCCAAGCCGAAATTAAAAGGCGTTTTTATTTTGCCTGTTTTTATTTTTTTGTAACCAAAAAAAGTAAACAACGCCAAATTGACATTTTGCCTCTCGACAGGCAGCGAAAAATGGTTTTTCAGTTGGTTTTTCGGCGATTTTTCCAAAGTTTTCCTCGTATCGAAGAAGGCAAGGCCCAGCAGGTCGCCGTTGAAAATGACAGTTGCAGTTATTTTCGTTAGAAATCAACAAAAGCCAAAGCCAAGTCACTAAAAATGACTGACTCTTTGCCTGACTGAGTGACTTTTGTTTGGCCAATTGGCGGAAAGTGAAAAGCGGCAGCGGCTCAGCCACCTGAGGGCAAGGAGTTGCGCCGGCGCATTGCATCATGGCCCAAAGCATTTAGGCCGCGTATCTGTATATCTGAGTATCTGTGTGGGTGCACGAGCAATCGATGATCGGATAGCGTTGAAATCTACTCGCATGTAACGTTTAAATTTGTTGGAAAGTTTACAGATGCACAGAAATTAAATTATTAAATTAACCAAATATATCCCTTTAAGAAATATGTAATTTAATGATGAAAAACAAGACTGCAAAGTTGGGAACTTTAAAACTAGGCCATTTTAGGGATGGCCAATATAATGTATTGACCAAATATTGGTCCTAGGAACTTTAAAATATATAATAAAATAAAATATAATACTTGATAATAATATCTTCCATTTACCATAGATTTTAGATTTTTTTTTTTGCATGTGTACCACCTATAGC